CCTATGCAATGACATTATTTTCCACGTGTGCTTAAAACCGTTGTCCTCATGGCTTACGCTTAATAATGACACTCATCACATTATTGCCTAGGCGTGTCTTTGATCAAAATACTTGACACACACGGGCATTATGAACTGTTATCATGAGACTGTCATTTTATCGTCGGTAATTAACATTACATAAAGTGTAGCGATCATAAATAACTACAGAATATGCGTATCCGCGATTTTCTGTCGCGTCTTTAATGACATCTGGTTCTTGGTCTTTATTGGTAAGAATCTTTTCAACTAAGGTAAGTTTGAACGGTGTATGCCAGCGAGTGACGTGACAGTCCATTGAAGTAAAGAAACATTAGTTACATTTTTCATATATTTCGCCACCAAGGACCATTTTTCTTTGGCCTATCATTGACGGCGAGCTTTGTTATACATCGGGCAATGAATTTTGTGGACAGGAAACAACTGAAGCGTCGAATCAGAGTTCTTTTCAATCGCCACATCGTGAATGATGTTAAAAAAATAAATATCCCCGCATGGAAAGCACCTCTGCCATTCCGGGTAATACAAAATCGGTAAAATATATTAACGGGGGCTTACGCCTGGCGCATGGCGTCCGCAAATTGAGAAGCGCGTCCGTGCGGGGCGGGCGGCGCCGGTGGAGCAGGGAGGGTTGAGGGCTGCAATCGGCTTACGGAAAGTGGGCGCGCAGGTGGGTCGTAATTCGGTTTTTGGGCTGCGTTAACGCAGTGGGGCGGGGCTGGGCTGGGCGGGCGCAGCGACCGACACGACGCGACGCGATGCGACGCGCCGCGACGCCCGGATAATGCAGCCTATCGACCGCGCTCGGCGACGCTCCGTTCGCGCCGCGCCACTCCGCGCCCGCCCTGCTCCCGCTTCGCTCCGCTCTGTTCCGATCGTTCCGCTTGCCGTCCGTTCTCTCTGGCTTTCCGCTCCACCTCGCTCCCTCTGCTACGCTCTCTTTCTCTCTCTCTCCCTCTCTCTCTCCCTCTCTCCCTCCCTCTCTCTCCCTCCCTTCCTCCCTCCCTCTCCCTCTCTCTCCCCATCTCTCTCCCCTCCCTCTCTCTCTCCCGCCCTCTCTCCCTCTCTCTCCCTCGCTCATCTGGCCAGGTCTGCTCGTCCGTTTGATTTTCGCTGCGGTTTTTCTCCGTTTTTGCTGCGATATCGGTGGCCTCGAGGTGTTTTTTTTACGTACGATTTTTTAAAATAGTCGATATACTTCTTTAATTTTATGGTTAGCTTCTATTGGCAATTGAAGATTACAGGTTGTGTAAATGGAAGTATTGATTCTGTAGTTACAGAAACGTGGGAGAAGGGGGACACAAAGATGGGGTAACAGCCCATGATCTTACGACTTGTGCAACATAGTGAAGGTTAATTCTCCCGAAATGTAGAATATTGTGTAAAAATGGCGTTCTCCAGCAATTAAGATGTTTTAATATCCATGAGGAAATAATAATTTCCTAATAAGAAAAAAATCGCGCACTCGTTTCTTATGGATTTAAACCTTTATCAAAACAACATACGTAAAACAATCAATTCGACAGTCCAGCCTGGAGCGGATCGAAACCGCACTCGCACACGTCCACCGATTGGCAAGGGCCGTGGCGACCCCAGCGCAGCCTGTGCCTGTGTGGCGCGGCGAGGGCGCCCCGCTGCGCGTGGCCCCGCGGGCGAGCACGTTCGGCCGATAC